CCTTTTTTAATTCTACAGAAAGGAACACAAAAGATGTGTTGATGAAAACAGAAAATACTTAATAAAAGTGACCAATGTTGTTTGCAGGCTCCAACTGGTTCTAAATCCAACTGTGTTACGTTAAGCAGAAATGTCCAAAGTGTGGCCCGTGGGCCATTTGCAGCCCTCTGGATGATGCTGTTCGGGTCCTCTGTCCACAATTTGTGAGTAATTCAAGCTTTTTACAGATAAAATCTCTTTAGACATTAATTTATTTAGGTACAGCACAAAGTATTTTTCAGAAAGCGATGCCCAACATTTGTTGTGATAATGTAAAAAAAAAAAAAAGATAATATATACAAAAAAAATTTTGGAAAATGTTTACTTATTTAATTCCACAGCTGTGCAAAAGGAACAAAAAAAAAAAAAAAAAAAAAAAAAAAAAAAAAAAAAAACCAGGATCAACAATAATTTACGGATTCCCTTTCTACAAAGTTAAGACTACTGTCAGTTTAGCATATTACTGAAGACATAAAAACAACAAATATCTTCGGAAACAAATCCTCTATCTATCTATCCACCTATATATAAATATATATATACATATATATAAAATTAGTAAAACTGCAGAGTTGGACCTTGAGGCTAGTCAAACTGGACTTAAAACAACTCCCACCTCAAAAACATCTTAGCAGACGATCCATCTGGTTTTACGAATCAAATACATCACAGTACTGAATCCAAAAACACAGAACTTAAATCTCATCTGGGCAAAGTATCTGTTTGGTATGAAAGCAAAGCAATAAAAAAATACCCCAAATATCAGCGCGTTTTAAGAGAAACTTAAATCATTAACCCGTCCAAGCCGCTTAGAACAGTAAATCCAAGTCGGTTCCTTCCTCAATCGCATCTTTTCCTCTGCCTGCTTGTGCGGCTCCATGCGGCGTGGAGTTGAAATTTCTGGTCTGTAGTTTATCAAAACATAGCTACTTGTGTGCTTCTGGGCCACATACCCGACACCAGCAAGTTCAAACCACATGGATGTGATTCACGAGCCATCAATCTGTCCGTCCATGGACATTTTACTGCTACTTTCTGCTGCAAAGGCCAGCAGGAGGCCTGGCACCCGAACAAGAACCAGTGAACACTCTTAGATTAATACTGGGTCCCGGAAAACGGCCCTGTTGGGAGTTTTCCGTTTGGTCTTTCTTGCTGAATGAATCTGCTTGTGAAAACTGGGTAAATGTGGTTTGTGTGCTGAGACTGAAATCGAAAGCTTTATGTACTTTACTCACTACTAGCTTGTGTAAGAGGAAGTAAAGCTAGCTGACCAAAATAACACAGAAGTGGTCCGAGTTATTTCTAAATGCGTTTGAGTAAAATATCCTTGTTTAGGTCAGTTATTAAGTCAATTTATTTTGTCTTTGTCATTCCTGTAGGTCTGAACTTGATGTTACGGTATTGATAAAGCTGTCCTGAAGTTTTATAATTGACTGAAACAAAGAAATCCTGCTGCGAATGCAGAATCAAAAGCCAGAAATTCTGAAATAAACACAAACTATCAGTAAACTTGCTAACAAAAAAAAAAAAAACTAAAACAAACCTGTAGATTTAAGACCAAGCTAAATGTGTTTTAAAACTTCTGTGGAAGTGCTAGATGTTTTAAGAACTGTTGATGTTGCACCATTCATGAGGACCAAAATTTAATTTAGCTGTACATCCTGCATATATACCATAAAACAGCTTTTAATAATTACTATCCCGTTTTATGATTATTGTGTACTTTTTAATGTTCAGTGCTACGCATTTATGTTATTTCCTTTTATGACTTTGTTTGATGTAACTAAGGGTTTTGAATAATTTTGCAAAGCATTGTCTAAGCATACATATTATGGCTATGTAATATGGCCTAATGGGATTGCATAAAAAAGCTTGACATTATCTAAAATGTCATCATGCCCTCATTTAATTAACTGCTACCAGGTGACAGCCAAATATGGGAAAATCAATTAAAACAAGATAAAGGAAGGAAGGTTCCAATCGCTGATAAAAATCAATGTTTTCTAGTGTAAAAGGAGTACTTGATATTTGTCAGAACAGTAACTCATTTGTGGGTTAAAAACAATGCATTTGCTTAATAATCTTTTACTTTTTTAATAATCTGGTGCAGAGTGAGTTAAATACATTTAGTGTCTCCTGATGTCATTAGCTCTGTCGGAAGTCTTAAAGAAAGAACGAAGATCTCCTCCCCTCACAAGCCAATATGCTAGTGCTGGTCCAGAAGGATTATGGCTGAATGAAAATAAAATGCCAGAGGTTGAAATAGGTTTGGGCTTAAGAAAATTGTTTGTCATAAGTGGTGGAAACGGAGGACCAAACCGCGTGCAGGAGGCAAGCAGAATTATATTTAATGGTTTAGTTTAATAAAATAAAAAGGAGCAACTATGGGACGCATGCTCAAGAACTCAGGGACATCAAGACAAAATAACAGGCAGATCTGACAAACGGCTGATTAAAATGTGAAGTATTTAACCAGAGGTGGTGATTAATGAACCAGGAGCAGATGGTGCATCAGTAACAAGGTGCACTTGATGGGAAAAACAGGTAATTAGAGGGAAATGAGAAGAAAAACTAATAAGTAAACACAGCATAATCAAATCAAGAAGACCAACAGGGACAAAAAAAGCACACACACACACACACACAAAAACAGGAAGTAAATTGAACCCAAGAAAAGATAAACAGCGATCTAAAAAGGAGAGACGATAAATAAACCTAAAACTCTAAACACACCAAAAAGTTAAAGTGCTTAGTTTATAGCTGCACATAAACGGTTTCATTTAGTTCAATGCTATTTGTTAAAAAGAGAGATGCAAGAAAAGTAAACCCAAGTACACATAAAATGTTTAGCCGCCAATGGTCTTTGGTAAGAAAGAGCAGAGAAAGATATGACTCATGAATCAGACACCATTTTTTTTAACTAACATTAAATAGTTTTCCCTTGATTCATTGTTATTAATGTGTTTCTTATTTATAATGTGTTCTCCAAAAGTGGCAAAGGATAAAGCAACAATAACTAATGGGGTTTGGAGCAATGCAGCAGAAAGAGTCTGCATTGTTCCATTTCTTAGATGTAAAGTGTGTGATGAGGGCAGAGCAAAGAAGTTTCATGATTGACTTCAGATTAAATTACTTTTTCAAGGTTTGAGTGATCCAGTCATGTTCCTGTGGGTAATTCTTCAGACCTGACATCAGTACACACTCAAAGAACTGTTCCTCAAAAGGGATCAGTGAGAGAACGTTAAGACTTTTCACCAAGTTATTTATAGGTGTAAAACCTTCGGGGAAAGTAAACAGTGAATTTAACGACAGCATGATCTTATAAAACCGCCTTAGTTCTCATAAATGATTCTGAATTTCTCTAAATTTCTCTCGGCACAACAGGCGGCGATTACAACATCTTTTGGATGCAGAAAGAAGTGGAACATAACTGCATCCTTATGACCATTTATTACACGCAGTAATCCATTTTCAATTAGTCTGATTTTCTACTTTCGGTTCACCTCTACTAAGCGTTGCACAATTTGGACTCTTGAGTGAAGTTTCTATTTAGGAACCCGCTGTCAAGTGATTTTAACTGCTTTATAAGTAACAAGAGGCAAGTCAGGAGAGGTAGCTTCCTCTAACTGTGGCGCAAACTTTGGATCAGGAGCAGAAAGCAAAAATCAACAAAGGTCTATAGATAACTTCTCCAAAAGTCGGTCAAATTATCCAATTTGCCACGTTGGGTTTTGTAATTGATGATCCCGAGAAAAGTATTGAGGAGAGCATGGATATAATTAAGGTTCGCAAGAATGTAGACCTGATGTGATTTCTCTAATCGTATCTACACGTACTGATCAGTTCACCCAAAGCCCTTCTACCGCTTCCTGACACGCCTGAAGACACGATGTAATGGATAACACAGACGGGAACTGATGGAGAACTTTTCATCTGGACGAAAGCTTACAAAACGAGTGTTCGGACATCTGGTCGTCTGAAATTTAAGAGACAATTTTGACCTAAGTTGCTTTTGTTGCGTCAAAGGGCAAGTTTTAGTGGATTTGACACTTTTTATGTAGTTATGTTGTGCTATGTGGTATTTTCAAAACCGATAACCAAAGCATCACTCCCCTTTTTATAAGTGATTCTCTTTTGGTCTTTCGCTTAAAATTGTAATACAGAAAAGTAAAGTCTGTGGTTGTAACAAGACAAACAGAGGAAAGGTTTAAAAGGTGAATTTTACTGATACACAATTACATGTTGAAGGAGCCGAGATACCAAAAAGAAAAATATCACAAAAGAAGTTACATTCTTTTGTTTTTTTTGTTCACATTGATGAAAATCTGTCATGAAAATCTTATCTAAACGTAAAGAAAAACATAGACTGAGCTGACTAACTTTCACTCATGATTTCGTTGTTACATGAACTATTGATGTGCATTATTGAGCGAGTGAAATAAAAATGAAATGAAAAGTGCAGTCGTGCTTTCAAGAAGAAAAATCTGTAAATGTTCTTTGACCCATGACATTGTTAGGCAAACAAACTGAAACCAGGACACCGTGAACCAGCCCGACCCCATTCGCATTTCAAAGGGACAATAAAAGAGGCAGCACAAAAACATCGTTTTGATAAACTGCGTCTTGAACAAAACGTCTGACTTAAGCTGACTCTGTCACGCCAAACGTCTGAAATGGGTCCCATATGAGCGAAAACCGCTAATCTAGTGAACGGGGCTCAGCAACAAAACGGCACTTTGGGAAATTAAGAGCTGAAAAGTGATCATTATGAGTAATGACAGCCTATTTTTCCACATTAAATAATTACAACTTTTAGAAAGCGTCTTTTTTCCCATCCCCTTAAAAAGTCACATCATCTTCACAGCAGATAGATCCAAAATTTTATTTCACAGAAACCTGGTGACATTTATTGCCATGGTAACACCGAATTTAAACATAAGGAAACAGAAAACAAAGGTAGCTGTGTTCAATACGTTACTCCCTCTTTAATCGTGAATATAATGTTTTACATGATAAGCAGCGTGTGTTACAGTGTCTACAGTATCCTTTTCATATTTTGGATCTTGTTCACATATATGTTTATAAATTTTTAAAGTGAAACTACAGGTGTAAATAAGCTAAGATTCAATTTGTGTAATATTAGAAAAACATATCTATTCAAAACAACATTATATATATATATATACACACAAGAGTGTTATTTAAAACCTTTCCATCACAGGGAGAGAGAGAGGATATCTTTCATGTCCTGCATAAATCTATAAAGCAATCCCAACTCGTCAGAAGAAAAGCTAAGAAAACAAAGAGAAACAACAACACAACCCCTCAAGGCACTTAATGATGCAAGAGGCAAATATCCAGAGCGTCACAGATCATAAACAAAATATTAACGTTTTAGACCCCGTCGGAAATTAAGATGGCTTGTAGTGATCAAAAAGGCATGTGGCCTTCGTAGAAAGAGTAAAAACAACATCCGAGCAGTCATTAAGCTTCGCCATTCATTCATAAAGAGCAAGACCAGGCCGAGCGTGAGAGGCCATCAGCTGCAGCCCCCCGCCCTCGTTAAACGACGATTAAAGAGCGAAAGCCACATATGCATCTGCCTCTCCAGAGTTGCTTAGATTGAAAAAAAAAAAAAAAGTATGGCTTGTGTGTGTCTGTGACGTGTTCACCAGGATCAGTCTGGGTGTCGTTTTCGGAGAAGTTAACTAGCACCATTCGCGATGTAAAAGATGGGCTGCTCTTCGCTAAGCCTTAGTTCACTACAATCTTTCTCTTGTAGTTTTAACTCACGGTCACTTGGCCGATCAAGTCACCTGAACACCCCGATGCTAACTGCGATGGTTGGGAAGTAAAAGTGTAAAAAAAAAAAAAAAAATCTGACTTAGTGCTGAGTAAATTAAATACATCGAGTATAAATGGCAAATTATTCTTACAGAAATCGCAATAATCCAGAGTTCAGAATCTTAAAGTGCAAGTGTTGATGTAAAATATTCCAGAGCTCAAACACAAAGCTGCATTTGAGCTGCATGTTAACATGTAGCTGTATGGAAATAAACTGTCTGAAATGGTCTTTTAGTGTTGCACTGCAAAAAAACAACTAAATCTTACCAAATGTTTTTGGTCTAGTTTCTAGTGCAAATATCTTATTACACTTGAAATAAGACAAAAGTAAATTTTCAGCAAAATATAGGAGCTTGTTTAAAGCCAATAATTTCCTAATAGTGGAGAAAAAGTACTAATTATAGTTGGAACTAGTACTTCTTCCACTTTTATAAAAGGAATTTCTGACTTACAACCCATATATTTGCTGATATGTTACTTGAAAGTCAGTACACTTGAAATAAGACAAAACTAAGATATTTGCCATAGAAACAACACCAAAAATACTCAGTTTTGTTTTTGTAGTGTACCTTACATTATTAAACAATGACTGTAGCTACTAACAGGATAGGAATTAGATGTCAGTTTTTTTTTCTTTCTTCTATTTAGTTATGAAATGATTTGTGTACGGTATTGCATTTCACGTCTCCATCTTGATTCGTTGACGCTTCCAAACCACACTTGGCACTTAAAACAAGAGGGAATGTTGGCTTCATGATGCAAACCGAGGGCTTGTTTACACCGATAACAGTCAGTGGGAGCACAAAGTACCTGGATATCGACCGTGACAGAACCCACCTGGGTACATCTGCCCAGAAAGCCACAAGGGGGTGCTGTGTCTCAGTTTGGAGAAGCTGTCTTCTCAAAAAGGCAACAAACGTCCGGGGATGTCAGTGTTTGCTTTTGTTGTCGATTGTCGGTTCTGAAAGTCGTCAAGCCTTCAGGTTTCGTCGGAGCCACACTTTCCGGAGGCAAAATTATAACAAACACTCAACCTGGCAGAAGCAGGAGGAGGTTAGAGAGCGACCCGGATCGGCTTTTCGTCTTGAGGTTGTTGGGTTTTATAAAGTGTTTCGGGTGCCGGGTTAAATAACCCACAAGGGGCGTCAGTGTGAAACCATTCCCTCTCCGTGCATCGGGTCGAGCTCTGCCCCCTGTGAGGTCAAACAGCAGGTCCAGCCTGAAACATGGAAGAAGGTGAAGTCACATGAAAGTCAAAGCCAATTGGACGTTGGAGGGGAACGGGTGGAAGGAAAAAAGAAAAGGCTTGGAGTTGGGCTTCAAGTGGACTTGTGGAACAGCTGAGTGACCTGGATGACCGGAGGGGAGGTGCTGAGCGCCGGGCCGCACCAACAGGCGGCGGACCGCACTGGCTGGAGCCGACACCTGCCACTGCCGAGACAAAACACACGTTACTTCACTTCTTACTGCAAATAACATCAAGTTTAACACCAAAAAAAAACTACAGACTGATATTGTTATAGAGTAAAAAAATGGAGAAAGAGGTGGTGCTTTGCAGATGTATTCATAAAACTTTGACTTTTCCACATTTTGTCATGGCATAATCACAAACTTTAATGTCATTTATTGGGATTTTATGTAAAAGACTCAATTGTGATGTGGAAATAGAATTATAGATGAGTTCAATCTTTTCACAGCAAAAATCTGAAAAGTGTGATGAAATTTAGATTCAACCAATCGTATCAGTGCAAGTTTGTTCACCTTACATTTTTGACCTTAGGCAGACTGAATGTTTTTGCCTTTTCTTAGTAAGATCCAAATTGTGAACATAAATTTTTCAAATCTTTCCATTCTCGTCCGGATGTAGCTCTGGACTTTGACAGGGCCGCTCTAAACCATAAACATGCTTCAATCAACACTGTACTTTACAGCGGGAAGCCTCCCTTCAGAATGAAGAGTGCTGTTAATTTTTGCCACATACAACATTTTGAACGTTGAAGTGATTTCCTGTCAACAGACTCTCTCACCTGACGACTGGATGTCTGCAGTTCCAGCAGCTTCCTGGCTGCTTCTCTGACTGACGCTCTTTTTGCCTTGGTGGGTTTACAGTTGTGAAAACATTTTCCTTTTCAGATATTCAAAGTTTAGGGCATCTATTTATACCTATACCTGGTTTAAACGTCTATGCACCTTTCTCCCTGACGTGTCCGCTTGTGTTCCTTGGTCTTCATGATGCCGTTTGGCCACATTGTTCACTAAAATATCAACTTTGTGAATGAAATTATATTCAACATTAACGGGAACTCAAATAACATCTGCACTTTGGCAGATAAACCATATATCTTTAATTATGTCTAGCATAAATTCACTGAAGTCTGTTGGAATGTGACAAAATGAGGAAAAGTTCAAGGGGAGCAAATACTTTTGCAAGGACCTGCAGAACAGCCTGAGTTATGAGACAGCCACTGAAAGAGACGCACACAGTGAACACACACACCACTGTGTGAGAAGCAGTCAGCAAACGTGTTAGTTGTACAACATGACGGTCCTTTTCCAGCTAGCAGCTAGCAGCTAGCAGCTAGCAGCGCGGCTCGTCTCAGCACAACTCTACACAGTTGAGCTGTGCCGAGCGGTGCACCGGCAAATCAGCCCCGATTTGCTGAATTTTCAGCGATCGGCTGATACTTGCATGTGAAACCGATATTATCTACATTTGCAAAAGTCTGAAAATCAGCCACTATCCCCGTTTTCTCTGCCATGAGAGAGGGCTGACTGATGGACCCGCCCATCTGGTCACATCCGCACATGCCCAGTTAGCAAGATTTTAGCCCGACTGAATGCTTACTAGTGGAAAACCCTTGTGACAGAGTCGAGCTGTGCTGAGTAGCCGTTGGTGGAAAAGGTCCAAATATGTCCAAAAAGGTTGGAAAGGCACAAAACATGGCTGCACGATAAATCCACACCACAGCTGGGGGGTCGAGTCTTCTTAGGTTTCCTCAACATGAAAGCCTTGCTATCAGCCAGGTATTGTGACACCACTATCCAGTGCATTTCTGTGGCCAGCAGCGATGTTTTTACTCTAAGCATCAGCTGCTGAGCCTCAGGAGGTGAAACACTGGGCTTTGAAATGTGTCATCACGTCCACACACTGAAAGAAAGTAACCATGTGAGGGAGGAGACACCTGAACTTGCTACGGTGAAAAGAAACTCATCCCAGCTTTAACATCAGCATCTAAATAAGTAACATGTGCAGTGCTGTGAAGAAATACTTCTCCCCTGCTTACAGATTACTTTTTTTTTTTGCCTTTTTGTCACACTTAATTGTTTCAAGTCATTCTACTGTGAGAAAACAAGAAAAAAACACAAGAAATTCCATTTCCACAGCAACACCGACAGACCGATTTCAGGCATCAGACAGGAGAGACGCCAAAGTTAGCGGCACATTTAGCATGCAAGACTTGTAGAGACAGATGTGGGGAGGAAAAAAAAGCAGCTTTGAACACCCTGACAACACGTAACAGAACACTTTTATAGCACAGGTGATGGGATGCGTGTTACTAGAAAGAATGCTGCAGTTCAGCCCGTCGAGTTCGCTTTCAGAATACCTGACGAGTAAAGACGCTGTGCTTTCAGACCGGAGCTGCCCTGCTGTGAAATATGCAGGGGAAAGAAACCATCACAAACAGGAACACTGTCAAGACTAGAAAATAATTATAACGGTAATAATAATTACTGATTACTCTTCTAATCGTGGGGCGTCTGGTTTTGAAATCATGTTCGCTCTTGACGAACAAGCTCAGATTGGAGCCCAGATTTCTTGCGTATTTCAGATACATTTCCCCAAATTTGACTGAATGGAGGCAGAAAGGAGGTGAAACTCCCTGTAAAGGTTCCAGCTGTGGAGGTGCGTGTGGCCAAATGCATGCACTGGCCAAATGCCAGTGCATGCATTGGCATTTGCAGTGCAGTGCAGTGCATGCACTGCACTTCAGAGCCATGCAGTGCATGGCTCTGCAGAGTGCATGCAGAGTCATGCACTCTGTTTATGACTGGGACTAATGATTCTTTTAGTAATTAATTAGTTTTGGGTAGAACATATTTACAAACCAAAGAAGTTTTTTCATCTTAAAAGCAAAATGTATATATATTTTTTGCACAGTTTTGGCTTGGTACGTTGCTCTTTCAGCAAATAGCCCTTTTTTTTTGAGTCTATATAATCTATTGTGATTAAAATCTGAGTCTTTACATTTTTAAGCATATTTTGTGTTTTTCACTGTGAACCAGCTGAAAAGATCATCAGTATTGTTTCTGAATGTCTTTATTTTCCTGCTGAATGTGAAAAAAACGTGATTCTATGCACTTTATTTCTGGCCGTCCTTCAAAAGCTCTCTTTAAATGTACTCGTCCCTTCATTGTAAGTAAGACTGGAAAAAACTTAATCAGAATTATGTTCAGTAACTTTTATGGACATCATAAAACCACCATTTTCCTTCCCGTCAGATTGGATCACTGTAGTATTTATGCTTTTGCTGTAGCGAGGAATGCTTTTAAGAACTCGACTCTAATCAGTCTCATCTGCAATCAATAGCTACTCTTCTGAAATTAGGGCCTCTTTCTTGGCTGCTTCTCTGATTCATGTTCTCCCCTACGAGGTGGCAAATTGTCAAAGGAATAAAAAGTGACCAGAATGCAAGGCAAGAATCCAACGTGAAGGTTCAATTCACAAATATGGCGCAACATTTCGGATCATTTGTTCTGCACTGAATAAAGTTGAACGTTTAGCAGAGAAGTGAAGTAATTTAACACCTGGTGAAGTATCCACTCATGTATCTTTATAATATTTGCTGTCTGGGTGTGTGTTTTACCCCGTGTCGTCGGGCGTGTCCTGATCAGCCTCTGCTGCAGACGACTCCACGTCGGCGTCTGCACTGCTCTCGCTTCCCTGAGCCGACAGAGCGCAGGGAGACCCCGGGCTTCCTCCACTGCAACAATCACACATCCATGAGTAACAGGGTTGATAAAAACCCACTGTAAACATCAGTAAGGCGACGTTTGGTCTACTGACTTGGCGTGCTTCTCCAGCATCAGGATGGTCTGCTCCTTTTCCTCCAGTTTCCTCTTCAGAGAGTCGATCTCTTTCTGCTTCTCCAGCAGCTCCTTCTGCAGGCGGTAGTTACTTTCCTCCAGCGTCTCACAGAACGCCTGAAGGGAGAGGAAAAAGCTTTAATCTATGACATACTGATGCAAAGTTTGCTTTAGTAAATAAAAACTAGGGCTTAATACAAATGCACAACAAACATTGTCTTTTTATTTTTTTCTTATTCTTTGGGAAATAGCGTATTATTTCTCGCTCGTTTCACAAACTGCTAAAATCCACAAATACCTGAGACCAACGCTGCTTTTTTCAATAATTTAAACACCAAATATCCCTTAATATGCATTAATACACTCTGGTGGAGACTAATTCAGCACTACTGCAGAAGCTAACATCTAGTCTCTTCCTTATCTCCACTCTTGTGGTTACAACTAATAATTGCAAAGGAAAATAAATGTGCTAAAAATGAGAAGGAAGCTCAGTTTCCATCTGACTTTAATGAATGAATCTTTTCAGATCCTATCAGTTCTGGACTCACAGGATCAGTGAGATCCAGTTCCTCAGACCCACTGCTGGTCCCAGATGAACACAATGTTTGAGCAGCATAAATTTAAAAAAGCGTTTCAGGAACATGAACGACTTCTCTCTCTGCAGAAGCAGGATGGTGCTGGTTCGGGTTTTCATTGCCAGCCAGGTGTCAGGAAATGAGACCTGGCTGGACCGCTCCTTAAAGCAACAGAACTGCTCTCACACGGAGTTCTCCAGCAACACAAATCTGCCGTTTTATGCCTTGTGCTCCTATTCCAACCCACTCTGTTACATAACACAGGGGGTGGGCTGTTCAAAATAATCCCAGCAAATATGACTAAAGCAGCTCAAAAATGCGGTAAGGTCTAAATATATGAGGACTATAACTTCAGAAACATCAGTAGGACTACTCCAGTCCTGTTCCAATCCGATACCGATGTCAGAAAATTGGTCTGATATCAGCCAAAATGTGAGTATCGGAGTATTATCTCTTGATAAAGCTCTTTCTAATATTCCGCACAACAAAATAATTAATGAAAGTATACCTGATTTGTGCTGATATTGTATCAAGTCGATATCGGTATCAGTCAATACTCAAAGCTGCGATATCGGTATCATATCAGTTATACCAGAAAACCCCTACCTGTTTGTTTCAACAAAATAGCTAGAGGTGCACGATACACTCTTTTTCCCCCACTTCGATACCGATATATGAGGTTAGATAGTATCTGAAACCGATCTGATACAGAAAATCAGTGCTGAATTGACACAAAACATTTCTTTTAGAATTAGACTGAATAGATCCATTCTAATGGATCAGGCACATCATCACAGATACCAAATCTAGAATTTTATTTTTCAATATCGGGACCAATACAGATATTCATATCGGATCAGTGCATCTCTAAAAATAGATTCCTGCTTGTCATCTGTTGGTATAGAGAGTTCTCATCAAATCGTTGGTTATTACTGGATCAACAATCAGGCATATTACAAAGCTTCTACTGACTTTTACTCAACTGATTGAAAAGAGGAATAACTAGCTCTGTGTGTGCTCACCCTGCTCTCCTCAAGGCTGTCAAAAGGCCCAGGAGGATCATCGAGGCACAAAAACTCCCTCACTGGAAGGCTGTCAAAGAGAGAAAGCACAAAAACAGAACCACGCTTGATTTTTTTTTTCACACATCAATGATAAAATTACATTCCAGGCTGTTTATGTCAGATATCGATGCTGACTTCCAGTTAAGTTGAGATACACGGACAAAAAGCTGAACCAGCAGCGTCCACTAGTACAGTTTTTCTAAGTACCAGTTGCCGATGTCTTTGTGTGCAACTAAGTTCTGCAAAAAAGCCTGTAGCCCCAGCTGCCGGTCCTCCAGGAAGTCGCTGTCGTAGTTGTCTTTAAACCACCTCTTAGGAGGCAGCGAGAGTCTGAAGCCGGGGAACATTTCCTTTAGCTGGAGGAAAAAAAAAACACAGAGAACAAAAAGTAGCATAAAACTTACATCAACCAACAACTGTACAGGAAAAATTACCCATATACCAGTCAGTAAATGTGATACTCTTTCTTTCCTTTATTGTTTGGTATTAGTTTCAACAAGCAGGATCCACCCTCCATTCAGAAACAGCCATTGTAGTTGAAAACAAGTCCAACATGGTCTCTACTGTTACCCTCAGCCTCACTGGGACATCGAGTTTTCCAAAGGAAGACAAGCTAGGAAATTACTCAACTTCCTCCTTTGACATGGAAAGTTGCGGTTATTTCACAGAAAACCTACAAACCTCAACAACTAAATACACGAGTTTCTCATTTTACCTCAAGAATCCAAAGGTTGATAAATATTAGCATCCAGAAAACAACCTCACAGGCTAAAAAGCTCACACAACGTAATCAAACTCTGCATATAATAAAACAGTGAAAAACAAAGTACAATGTGACACTATTACAAAAATACTCAGAAATGATCGGCGCGAACAGTGACATTTCAGAAGCTAGAAATACTGCAGGATTTTTGGAGGCGTCTCATGAAAAAGATTTAAAAAAAAACAGCAGAGAAGACTGTCCTATTATCTTTAATCTGAAAGAATGTGCAGACCAGCACGGATGGCCGCCAAACGCCTCAAGATTTCCTGCCTATGTAATGTGTATGAAACATTCCTTCCCTGAGCCGTGAGAGCGCCGTCCACCTTGTGGGCTCGGGTCTGCTTGGCTGTGTGGGAACAGAAAGATTCTTTGTGCAGCTCTGACCGCTTTCACCGCGCACTCAAGAGAGAAAGTAGCCTGATAACAGAGTGTTTGCAAACACCAGCGTGAGATAAAGATTGGAGCGGAAAACGTCCTTGACATCTGGGACGGCTGCATGGAAACGCAGAAAAAAAATTTCACTACGAAAATAAATAATAAATAATCAAAAGCACCTTGTCGTTGAGTCTGGAGAAGTCGGTGTATCTTCTAAACACGACCCAGTTCTCGTCTTGACTCTTCCTCACCAGGAGCTTGTAAACCTGCAGAAAATGAAACTTAAAGCTGAAAGCATGTAGCGACGTGTGAAATAAAATGAAATAATTTTAGTAGGGGCGCACCGATTGCAGTTTTCTGGCTGACCGCCGATTACCGATCTTTTAAAAAGCGTAACTTACCGATTCTGATTTTGGCCAATACCATTTTTTTTTTGTCTGAAATGTTTCCTCTATATCAAGAAAGCTGCTGATTTGGCAACAACGAGGTGACTATTGTTAACTGTAAATGTGCAGACATGACCTGGTCGGGAGGTTTGTCAGTAAAACCTCTCTCATGGGAGAAATGAAAAGCACAGTGGTTGATTTTTAGTGGTTGATTTGCCGAGGTTGATAACATCAGTGGGTAAGATCGGCTTCACGTGTAAAAATCGACCGATCACCCAAAATTAAGGAAATCGGCACCTATAAATCGGCTGATTGATAAATGGTGCAACCCTAAATTTTAGCACTGCGGTCAATTCATGACACAGTTCTTACTCTCAACACAACATTTAAAAAGTCCTGATTATTTGGAGCGTAAGAGAATTTGTATTTTCACAGTTGTTTCTGTAGGCCAAGGCCGTTCGAAGCCATTTCCAGCCGCTGGACTGATTTTTTTTTGTGTTTGTTTTACATTATATTAAAGATTCCTAATTGGACTTTCTGAACCAATTGAAAGAACGTTTGTTTCAGTTTATTTTTGTCAGCTTCAGTTCCTTTATTATTAATTTTAAATTGACTCTGATACTTCTATCTGCACCGACTGAACAAATTAAAGCTGTGTTGTTTATATATGTTTCATTGAGCTTATAAAGCTATTGGTGTATTTCAGTGTGCTGTATAAAATAAATGTGCAATTCATTGCATTTACGTTTGTGTTTAAAAAAAGAAACGTTTTAAATCAATTCAGGACTGATTTTCTGTATCAGATCGGTATCGGCTGATACTAAAACTCAGATATCGGTATCGGAATGGCCATGAGTGGATTTGGATGCATCCCTCGTAAAAAATAAAAAAAAAACTATGTTTTTGTGGTTTCAGTTTTAAAAAATTTATTTGTTTTTTGATCTGCAAGAATTTCTGAGCTGTAGATTTTGGTCAAGAGTGTTTGGACCCCCTGGTACAGTCAGACTGATCATCGGTAAAAAAAACCTCCATCAAAGCAGTTGCTAGGCAATCATGTTGTTACCGTGAACTTGGCTCTCTCCTCCATGACCTCGTACCCCAGCACGGTCGGGGTGATCGGCCTCTCCTCCGCCTGCTGGCTCCCGGAGGGGTCAGACATGGAGCGAGGGCACGTCGAGTACTGGACGGACGCCTCCAGCGTCCCATTCACCCTGCCCCGGGGCAGGGGGCTCTGCTGCGGCGGGGGAGTCAGGCTGCGGTTGGCCCTGTCAGGGCAGCGCGACTGCCGCTGCGATCCCGACCCCCCGCCAGTCCGACCCCGCTCGTCTCCCGCCGACCTGGTGATGGGAGACGACGACTCGGAGCCACTGGAGACGCTTCCAAGAGATGCGGCGCGCTGCGGCCGCCTCAGCCTGCCGCCAGACAGTGCTCTGTTCATGGGGATGGGGACAGGCACAAAGGGTGAAGCCATCTCCCTGAGTCTGGCGCCAGAAACTGAGGCGTTTCACACCAACGCAGACCTTGGTTAGCCTCAGTAGTACGATGGCGGGGTCTAACAGCAGCGTTCAGCTTGACAGGATGACATTCACCCTGAAGAGGCAGTATGAAAGTATTTTCATGTTTTTAATTAAATAAACAGAGAAAACATCACATTGCTTGAAATGTGGTTAAATCTATGTTCTAATTGTGGTATTAAGGACATCAGATCAATTATTATGTACCACATGTCATTTACAATTTTATAATTTTACAGGGCTGGGCGATAAACCAAGGTTATCAAATTGAATTTCTGGTTTTTGAAGGCTTAATTTTTGAAAAATCTCTTCTTTTTTTTTGCAGAATATGGCCATAAAAAAATTAAACAATAAAATAAATAATACATACTTATTTTTGTTTTAGTATATAAAAAACATTGCAATAATAAAGTCATAATATACTTACTTAATTATATTACCCAATTTTATTATCATAATTTTTAAATCACTCACTCAAATAATGACATTTTTAATTGAATTCCGGGCACTTTTGGACTTCCATAGAAGAAGTCTGCAAATAAAAAGTATAACATGTGACCTGCCTATATGACGGACCTGGATTTAAAATGTTTGTAGACGTGTGAACACATTCAGCATTGAAACAAAATGTGTAAATAGAGCTAACAAAACACTTTCATGGTATACAGTTGCAAACCTGACCTGGAAAACACGTCAGCAAAAACACTCATGATAGCATAAATAATGTGACATCGATCCTACTGATCCTACTATTTGACAGTTAAATAATCAGTCTTTCCATAATGAAGGTTATTTTATGAGCACTCTCACCTCCAGCGGAATATTAAAAAGTTATTCTGAGTTCACCTGAGTGTCAAGGCAGGCACAACTACCAACAACAATATTACACAATGGGGAATACTCTTGCTGTGCTGACTAGGATGTTGATATTACAACACGAACTAAGCAGCCAACTCGCCGAAATAGCTTCGCAGAATTACGCAGCATTTTTATGACTTAATAAAAGCGGTAAAATATAGTTTTCTGATGCAGTTCTCCGCAAACTAAGCGGGTAGCATTTTGAACAGTGTTCGGTGTGCCTACAATCTCTCTGACAAGACTGGAAAAATAAGCTATCATTCATCGTGCTCACCTTAAGCTAGCAAGCTACAAAGGATAGCTGGAGTGGAGAACAGCTGACACACGTAGTAAATGGGACTCACCTTCAGCTTCAGAGCGAAATTTAATTCCTTTTAAATTACAGCTTTATTTATCAGAACATTAAAGGTAAATGTCTGTTTATCATATTCCAGTTTATCCGGCGCATCCCGTCCAACCCTCTGTTAGCTTGTTTAAACTCAAACCGATTCGAGTGTTATGTTTTAGAACAACCACCCGGGGGTGCTGTATTACCACAGCCGGACAGGTTACACCATGAGTTACACACAAGTGATTTCTGACCAGAAAACATTACTTTACGTCTGTTGCAACTTCCTGTTTGCTATGAGACAATGATCCATATTTTAGCCTTTCAAAAGTCACATAACCTCATTAATTAACTCACTTTGTTTCACATCTTCAGTGTGAGCACCTGGACATGATGAAGAATCTGCTGCTGCTGCTGTGTCTGAAGCTGTGGGTCAAGTGGATCATGATAAGTTAAACTCTATCTCTAATGTCACAGTCTCACTGAAAGTTAAACATATTTGCTTGCAAAAAACAAACAAACAAACAAACAAACAAAACTAAACAAAAAACAAACAAACAAACAAACAAACAAAACTAAACAAAAAACAAACAAAAAAATGCAACCAAGCTGTTATAAGTAATTACAACACCAAGTATAAAAATAGACACCCCAACATTGTTTTTCTTTGTCCTTAATTTCTTATTGTAATAAGTTCTTCAGTATTGTCTACGTTATTCAGTGCGATTCCACAAACGACCGCTAGGGGGAATGTGGGCAGGTTGGGGCATAGAAGAATATACCGTCCCGTTAGATGCTAAAGGAAGCTGAGCTCATCGTGTGTGATTCATCTGGTCTACATCACAGGTCAGTTAAAATATATTTTCATGAATGCAACAAATGTGCAACAGGTTAAAGAGTAATATTTTTGTATAAGAGACAAATTATTATTCTGCTAAAACAGTGGATAATTAAAAGCTTAAATGTTTTATATAAAAGTATGCATTATGTGTGTAGAATAGAAGTTGTAAAAGTTATTAAAGTAGCAAATTCATCCCGCTAGTGAGTTTTAGAGTCCTCAGCTGGGCTGCGAGTCTCAGAAAGTCTTACATCTAATTTGCGTCTCTGTCCACACCAAGTGTTCGCTAGTTCGGCCAAGTCCGTCACAAATTTGTCGATAAGCCAGGAATCCACAAGTTCTAAACAGCAGAAATCCTGTTATCATGAATAAATCCAGGGTGAATCCCACCGGGTGTGTCCCCGCAGAATAAGAGGGCTCTCCTGTGCCCAGTCTTCTCATCATAAATTTTATCAATTGCATTGAGAGATTGGTTGTCCAGAACCATAATTTGCAGATTCGGAGGATGTGCAAAGAAAGGCTCCAAAAATAGAGAAAAAGACACGACAAAAACAGAGCAAGGAGGGCAGACATGGGCAGAGAGGGAGCAGAGGAAAGAAGCGTCCGCTTTCGCCAGAGGGAGAGAGAGAGAGAGAGAGAGAGAGAGAGAGAGAGGAAGAGAAAGAGAAAGAGAGAGAAAGAGAGAGAGAGAAAGAGAGAGAGAAAGTAAGGCCCATAATTATTTGCACAGTAAGCCTTCCAGGAATATGGTGGAAAGTGAGCTGGCTTTGCTGTTGCCTAGCAACATAGGATACATTACATTACTCCACTGATGGAATCTGATGATGTCAAAGTGTTGTGATGTCATAGGGGACATATACCTTGAATGTTCTGCATCTGAATAAAATTTGCAGAACTCAAGCACGGACGTTGGTTTTTCCATATTGGATTTAACAGTGTATTTTTTCGTAGCTTTTCTGATACATCGGTCAGACATTCAAAATGGCGCCAGTTCAAACTGATTTGTTAACAAAGGACCAAATTAAACAAATGACAAGAGATGAATTGGTTATCGTGCTTCTGGATTGGTTACAACGGTTTAGAGAAAGATCTGCAGCCCTCAGTAGGGAGGATGCACTACAGGACAATTTGGAAAAAGCTCAAGAAGAAATTGAGCTTCTAAAAGAGAAAATTGATCAACTCACCATAGAGCTAAACTGGTCAATCAAGCAAAGAAAAGACCTGGAAAGTCAGAGAATCCCAATGTTAAAACAAGAGGTAGAGAACCGGAGTTCCCACAGGAATCACCTGTTGTCTGAGGTAAAACGCTACAGAAATAAGATCAAAGAGCTTCAAACCTCTTTACAAAAACAAGCGAGGGACTCAAAAGTGCAGGTTGAGAAGATGGAGGAAGAAAAAATGCAAGTGATGTCTCAATTCACAGCATACGACATGAAGATCGAAAAGTATGAAAATGAAATTATGAAACTTAAGTTTGAAGTGTCCAGAAAGATTGACGACATCAGCATTAAGAACAATGAGATTATGAGAGAAAAAAACAAGTACAGACTTCTTGAGAACAAGACAAAAATTCTGGAAAAGGAGTTGACTGAGACAGTGAAGGAAAATAAAATTTTTCTGAAGAAACTTACAAAAACTCCAACGGAGCAAGTCATAGATAAAACTAAGGAAGAGTTTTTAGCAAGGTTGAGTTTAACTTCAGGGGTAATACTTGAGGAAAAAATGCGAAACAGGGAATTAGTACAACGTCTGATGAGAAAAGAACGTGAGGTGAATAAACTCTTGGAGCAGCAGGCTAAGACCGCCAAGCTCTTAGCCTCACAACCACAGCCACAGAAAGAGGCTGTGGTTGTGAAAAAGAGATTTGAGCCCACAGCGTCTGATTGGGAAGATCTGAAGAATGAGAATAAATCTTTAAATTATCACATAAAGACACTAATCGAAAACAGGGACAGGGATCAAAATCGCATTAAAGAACTTACCAACCAAGTGTTGATGGTAAGGAAAAAGTACTTCAGTGAGAAGATGAAGCACGAGACTTTGAAAGAATCCTTAAAGAACCAAGAGGTTAAGATAGAGAACGATAATGCTTTGGAAGTCCCTAAAGATAAAAACAAAGTTCAAATAAATGATAAACAAGACGCTCCTCTGCCACCCATCCAAGAAACAACCCTCCAGCTACCCAAAACAAAGTCAGTTCGTAATCTAAGAGTTCTGCCTCTAGGTGAAGGCAAGTTATTGTCAGACTTTAAAGAAGACATAATCATAACACCAGAAAAGTTAAAACAGCTTAAGCCAACACCCCCGAGCAAAAGGAGACCTGAAAGGCCGCCTCATTCACCACCAGTCAAGAAGCATTTTCTCAGGGAAACTGAGCGGAGAAAAGATAGCGGGCAACCTGGCGGGAGTGCCACAGAAGAGAACGGTAAACTTCCCTCTTTAATGGTTAAAGGCAAAAATATATAATGAGCTATGTTTCTGAGCCCTCGGGGCTGGACTTTAACCCATGGAGCCCAGCCGGGCACAGCCGAAGAGGAGAGGGTTGGGCTGCAGTGTCGAAGGGATGGCAGCAGAAGGAGGGGACCTCGGTGATTTGATCCTCAGCTACAGAAGCTCCCTCTAGGAACGGTGTCAGAGTCTGGTCCTCATTCCCGACAGTCACTCGGGCTCGTTTCTGGTGAGAGTTGGACTCCGCCAAGGCTGCTCTTTGTCACTAATTCTAGTCAATACTTTTATTGACAGAATTTTTAGGCACAGCCAAGGTGTTGAGGGGATCCGATTTGGTGGCCTTAAGATCACATCTCTGCTTTTTGCAGGTTTACTTATAAACTTTGTGGCTTTAATTACTGACCTACCAGACTCCTTTTCTTTCTTTATATTTGTCTTTATTTTTTTATGAGGACAAAAACGGGCATTACAACTTACTTATAAATAC